TAGTCCCAGGTAAAGGAAACAGCAAAAAGACCAAGACCACCTGCCTCCATCTCCTGAGATGTGCTGGTGAACTAACTGGGAAAACTGCACCCTCTCATCTCTCTCTTCCATCATATTAGTTATCCTTCCCTGGTGCCATCACAGTTAATCGAGTTGCAATGCTACCCTGAACCTCACCTACCTGGGAACTTGATGGCCACTTCTCGGAAGTGAGAGTCCACATAGGACCAGCCCTGGTACAACGCCGACAAGTTGACGTGCAGCTGGAAATAATCCTGGAGGATCTGCGAGGGAGTCAGCCCATCCGTTCCCCGGACCAGCTCTCCTGACAAATGGCCGCCCGGGCGCTCGCTGGTACCAGCGCGGATGGCTTCGGGCTGTGCCTGCTTCCTGCCTTTCTTCAGCGGTGGCTCAGAGAGGCTGTCTTCTTCTCTGCTGCCATCCTCCTTCTCCTCTTCATGAAGCGTGTACCAGAGCTGTTCTTCTGACTGGGTGAGGGTCCAGACACGGCCTGCCAACACACCAGTCCAGTAGCCAGGGCTGGTTTCGGACCACCTGAGAGGAACGCAAGGCTTATTAGCAGCAGGGACAGACCAACTGCAGTTTGGAGAAGCTAACCTAGGCCTTCCTTCGCCTTTCCCTTTATGCTCCAGAAGGTGGCAAGACCTGTATCTTTGGAGTCACAAGGCCCATCACCACCTCACAGCCACAGCTATGGTACGCTATTCTACAGTACCCTTCCACCAACTACAGTGGTACCTCAGGTTAAGAACTTAATTCGTTCTGGAGGTCCGTTCTTAACCTGAAACTGTTCTTAACCTGAAGCACCACTTTAGCTAATGGGGACTCCCGCTGCCGCGCGATTTTTGTTCTCATCCTGAAGCAAAGTTCTTAACCCGAGGTACTATTTCTGGGTTAGTGGAGTCTGTAACCTGAAGCGTCTGTAACCTGAAGCGTCTGTAACCTGAGGTACCACTGTACACGACACCTTGTTTCACACGCACACTCTTCTGACATCAAATGCGTCCCCCCAAACTGCAAAAAAATGGCTCCCTTATTAACTTTCTATTCAGCATTGTATCCTCCCAGTTCTGTAGCAGCCCAAAGGTATAAAAACATCCTAGACGGGTGATGTTCTGGGGTCCTGTGATCCTTCACAAAGGAATTCAAAGAACCGAGAAAGATTTGCTTATTCTACTTTCTGAAGTCGTGCATTTGATTAGAAGCAGGATGTCTGCGGTTTTTTAAAAGAACTGAATCAAAACACTATTGATCAATAATGCAGACTTTTGGAAGCTACGTACTGAGACCATCTGGCTCTGTAGTGGTAGGCAGTAGCTTCCCACAGTTTCACAAACGGTTCACAGTTTCCCTACCTGGAGATGCTGGAGGATAAAAACATAACAAGAGGCCTGTTGGATCAGGCCAAAGGCCTATCTAGTCCAGCATCCTGTTCACACTGTGGCCAAACAGACGCCTGGGGGAAATAGGCAAATAGGAGCTGAGGGCAGAAGCGGTAGTCTCGTAATCTGGGGAACCGGGTTTGAGTCTCCGCTCCTCCACATGCAGCTGCTGGGTGACCTTGGGCTAGTCACACTTCTCTGAAGTCTCTCAGCCCCACTCACCTCACAGAGTGTTTGTTGGTGGGGGAGGAAGGGAAAGGAGAATGTTAGCCGCTTTGAGACTCCTTAAAAGGGAGTGAAAGGCGGGATATCAAATCCAAACTCTTCTTCTTCTTCTTCTTCTTCTTCTTCTTCTTCTTCTTCTTCCCCTCCTGTGGTTTCCACCAACTGATATTCAGAAGCATTACTGCCTGACAATGGAGGTAGAACATTTCCACTGTAGCTAGTAGCCGCTGATAGCCCTCTCCTCCATGCATTTGTCTAATCCTCTTTCAGAGTCATCTGAGTTGGAGGCTGCCACTAACAGCCAGATGTCCACTGGAAGCCCACAAGAGAACTGTTCCTACTTGTGATTCCCAACAACTAGTATTTGGTGACTTACTGCCTTCCACAGTGGAGGGAGGGCAGGGCCATCATGGCTAGCAAGATTCGAACTTGCAACCTTCCTCAAGCAATGCATGCACTCTGCCACGCAGACCGATGTACCCCTCTGACATATCACAGCCAGCATTCAAAATTCACCAGGCGCCAGGCACATTTTGCACCTGGCTATCAGCCACTCACGACCAAGCGAAGACACTCAGGTACCGGGATGGTGCCTGATGTTTCCACCACATGAAGGTGCATGCCTGGGGATCCTTGGATCTTGATGGTTTTCACATACTAGCAACACATCCTGTAGAATTTTATCTGCGGTATTTTATCTGTGCAGATAGATGAACACCAGGAAGCAGAAAGTCGTATTGAAAAATACGACTTTCAAGCTGTCTGGTCCCTAAATGGCAACTAGGCATTCCGTTTCAGCGACTGCAACCCTGGTTTAACCTGGTTTAACCCTGGTGCCTAGTTTTTAATATACTGTATAGTCGTACCTTGGTTATTGAACACCTTGGTACTCATACATTTCGGCTCCCAAACGACTGAAAACCGGAAGTGAGTGTTCCGGTTTCTGAACATTTTTTCAGAAGCCGAACATCTGATGCGGCTTCCGCTATTGTTTCTGGCACACCTGCGCAATTGGAAGCCAATCGAACGGACTTCCGGAACACATTCTGTTCAAAAACCAAGGTACGACCGCTGATCACAGCTGCTTTCCACAGATGGTTGTGGGGAGCAGGAAAGACTTGGAGTTAAAGCTGCAATCCTAACCTCACCTACCGGGGAGTAAGCCCCACTGAATTCAATAGGTCGTACTTCTGAGTAGACGCTGTTAGAATCAGGGCTTTTTTCCCAGGGGGAACTCACAGGAGCTCAGTTCAGACACCTCTCAGGTGGGCGCCATTCATTTCCGTTCATAGTGAGTTCCGGCACCCTTTTCTAGAAAAAAACAGCCCTGGTTAGAAATGTGCTGTAGCCCGCCAGTCTAAATAAGTGTCCCTTTTTCCAAAGCGGATTCTCTCTCCCGAATTATTAAAAGAAGAGCTGTTGCCATAATAAGTAAGCAACCCATCCTTTGCAAGCCCGTGGCCAGGATGCATAGAAATTTGCAGGTGATCTTGAGGTTCCGTGGGGGAGACACAATGGTGCTTTGCTGAAAGCGCAATGCAGGGCCATCGGCAAGAGGGCAGAGCTGGCCATATTTATACATATATGGAGGCTTTTTTGGTGCCTTTCGGACGCGCAGCTTCATTGCCATCTCCATGCCAACGAGAGAGAAAAAAGACTGCACTGCACAAGAGCCTTGCAGAAAGAGAGAAGGTGGCAACCCGAGAGAGGGCGAGCAGGGGAGGGGGGGGCAGCGAAAGAGGGGCACCTTGGAGATAATAATACAAGGGAGGGAGCAAGAGGGGGACGGGGGGGGACGGGACACCCTTTCTTAGCAAGACTGCCATTCCGCGCTCGGGAGCCGCCAGGGGGCGCAACTAACCGGAAGGTCTGCCCGCCACAGAGCACCAGGTCGAGGCGGAGTTGGGCGCGCGGGCAAGGCAGGGAGCGCCAGGGGGTAGCGCGAGGCAGCGGGGCCGGGCGGGAGTCCATGCCGTTCCTCCTTCTGCTGCTGCTGCAGCAGCAGCTGCCGCCGCCTTCGGGGTGGACGCGGGGATGCTGCGCCTGCCGCCGCCGTTGTTGCAGCTGCAGCCGAGCGCCAGACCAGAGCAGCTCCGAAGAAGCCCGCAAAATCACCATAGAGTTGTTGTTGGTTTCCCTCCCCCCCCCCCACCTCACCGCCCCCCTCGCTCTCCGCCGAGTTCGGAGGAGGGATCGCGCAGGGGTAGACGGAGCTCCGGCGTTGCCCGCTCTAGGCCGCTGGGGTATACTCTGTGGCTCGAGTGGGCGGAAGTACTGGCGCCTGGGAGTTGGGCGGGCGCCGCGAGCTAGGCCTCTCAGGAGAAACGGCCACAAAATGGTCGCCATCTGTTGTAAATAAAAATATGCCCTTTTCCCTTATGGGGTATCCAAGAGCCCATATAGAGTCCTTACATAGGTTCCCTATTGGTAGGAGAAAATAACAGAGGCCAACCAGAGAATATTGAGAAGCAAAGCAGCTAGTAAGCTTGATCTTTATTAATCTGTTGCAACAGGGTGCTCCCTCACACGCAGGAGAGGAAGAGGACCCCCAAAAATGCTGTGCAAGGGCTTATAAAGACTTTTGAAATTCCCATCCTCTAGATCAAGACCACCCCCAGAAACATTATGCATTCATCACAGAAGGGGTGTAACCTAAGACCACCCCTCAGATACATCCCACCTACATCACAGAAATTTAAATGTTGTTTTTCTCCTGTCACAGTTTATCTCCTGTCTGGCAAGTTACTTGATTGGATTGCCTGGGGAGCCTGGCCATTCCTTTGTAGTGGTAAAATACTTATTTCCTGGGCCAGGTCACAGGCTCACACCTTATTCAAACAGACATATCCTTGAGACAGGATTTGTGAGGAAAGAGACAATGGGGAGGCTTTTCCATCTTTACCATGCAGAGAAACATTTGCTCAGTTTAGGAATCAAAATGGTTCCAGGTTGGCCTTCCTGTGCTGATCTATGTACGTGTGGTTATGAACGTTGCCATATATCTAAAACCATAAAATTCCTATCACATTATCCCCCCTTTGGGGCTAGAATTTTTCTTAAAAATTTTTGCCCCACAAATAATAACATCGTATGTTGTAAATGGATGCCTTTGTATAAATATATCATAGAAAAATAACATATGTTGCATTTTGTTACTAAATTACTTGTGGCATTCTAGCTCTTGGGAGAAACATTTTCTCAATAGTGCCTATGCTTTACATTTAGCAGGAAGGTCCTCTAATGACTGAAAAATGCAGTTGGTGTTTTGTCCTTCGCCATTTTTGTGTTTCTCAGGTGTCAAGCTAGCTCTTCTGTGGTCTCACATCGGCATGGTGTCACAGCAGTGGCAATCCTGTCTGTTGAATCCACTTAGGGCTTTCACATTAACCATGTTGCCTGGCACTCACCACAGCTGGCACAGGTTTAGGACACGTCATGAGAGAAATGTCTTTGCCTTGGCCATTCTATGGGATTTTATTATTATAGGCTCTGGTCTTGCACTCATGGGAAGTTGCTCACTTGCACTTAAAGGACCAAAAAGCTAATTCCAGCCTGGATACACTTGCCCAATTCAAACTGAGTCCAATTTGAATTTATCTTGCCCCAATGGTTCTCAACTCTTCAAACCAATCTGTTAAAAGAAACCATTCTCAAAAAGGGCAGTTGTCCAAATAAGTCAATTTAAGTCTATAAGGGATCATTCCTGCTAAACCAAAGCCTATTCACCTTCATGTATCTTAGAAGCTTCTCCTTGGTAAAGCGAGTTTTAGCACATTTTTAAAATGGGTAGGGAAGGTTGGCATAGTGCCAGGTGGGACAATCTAAACATTGGACTACGCAATAGCGCGAGCTATTAGAAAGTATAAAATGCATGAGAATTCTCCATTGGTGTGTAAGCAATAAGACATTAAACATAAAAACAATTACACACAAAAATACCCCCCCCCTTTGTGGAAATAACACACTGTCAGACACATTTCAACATTCCTACGTAATAACACATAATACAAAAAAAAACTAATTAAATATCAGTTGCATATCTTGAGACAATTGGGATATTTTATGTATGTATCTTTTGAATCCTGGAGCACAGTCTTGAGGTTCAAAAGTGAGAAGATGTCCTTGCAATTCAACTCCACCCCCTTTGTCAGGCCCACTCCCCCGGCAGTCTATATCCTTTGAAAGAGATAGCTGTGGGCACTTTGAAAACTTTGGTGTCTGTTGTTGCTGCAGGTGGTGGCGAAGCTTTTTCATCATAGGTCTGTAGTAACACATCTGTAGAAGTGACATCCTGTAAGGGGGCAGGGTTTTTTAGGGACTTAAAAGACAGAGTTAGAAAAGGAAGGGGCAAAAGCCCCCCTTCCAGTCTCCTTGAGTTATCTTAGCACGTTAAGCATTTTACTCATTTTAATATTATTATCACATTTTCATATAATTACTGTCATTATCTGCTAAGTTTGTTTGCTTTCCTTCACTTAGTTTTTGTTGTTGTTTTTTCATATTATTAAATAAAAAATTACTCCACATGTATAGAAAGAGAACTGTAAAAAAATACAACAAAGGTTAAAAAATAAAAAAGAAAGCAAAAAATTAGATTACCAGTCAGATGAAAACAGACTTGACACAAAGACATCAGATTTAGAGAAGAATTATTAGAGAAGAATTATTATTAAATAATACAAAGATATTATCAAAACCACACAGATTACTACTGGACTGAAAAAATGGGAAAACAATGGAAAAGGGCTTAAAATGACTTTCAATATGTGATGGACATGTCCCCAAAGTAAAACACACACACACAGACAGACACACAATGACCTATGAGGAACCAAAAATAATACTCAGGCAAAATACTCAGGCAAAAAGGTAAACAAATACAATTCCACAAACAATGTTTGGTTGTGCTTTGATTAATTTCATAGACATCATGGAAAAACTGATTAAATAAATGAAAACAGATTATTTGTAACTTAAAGTGTCAAAGCCACAAAGAGATGGAAGTCACTAATACAGCAGGGATTCAGACTTGTTTCACAGAACAGAAAGAAAGTTGCTGTGGGAGAAAAGAAGGGACAAACACTTTGCTAGTGGGGTTCACATATCCTGTTAAAAGGGAAAATTATTTCATGTGAGAAGTCAGTGGGAGTGCTTTGATATTTACCTGTGAAAAGAATTTGGCATGTTAAGATTTGAAACTTGGCAACCTCTTGACATTTGATGGTCCAGCACTTAACCCTTTTGTCTTATGCAGCCCTTGGAGCAAAAGACACATTAAGGGTGATTTCCCTCAATGGTTCCAAGTTTTACATAAGGAAATTTGGATAGGTTTCTCCCTGCAGCACACGTTCTCCAAACCTGCTCTCCAAACCTGCTCTCCCCCCTTCTTTCTCTCTCTCTCTCCCCCTCTTTTTTAAGCTGATCTAGCCTCTGTGCATATGCAGAGTTCATGTCTCAGCAAACCTTTTATACTATTGAAAATGTTGCATCTTTTGGCTAAATTAGAATTTGAATAAGGGAAGGGAAGGGTAAGGAGTAGATTTTAAAAAATAGGGTTAGATTTTAAAACAAAAAAGAGAAACTCAGCGATTTAAGTATTCACCAAAGCTAGCAATTTCAGCCCAAGCAAAGGGACTGCTTCCTTTATGTACAGGAAAGGGCTAATATCCCTCTGGCCATTCGCGGAACAATGCCACGCCCTTATATATGGGGAAAATGGCCAGAGAGTCAGAATTCATAAGATTTTTAACATTCTCAGTCATTTCAGCCTTACCATTTGCAGACAAAATTTTCCTGCCCTTTATTTACAGGATGGTCAAGGCTACTCAATTATATGTCAAGGCTCATTCTACTTGATTATATGAATTTGTATGTGCTTAAACTTTGAGTAGACTTTTAAGTCTGATTTTTGTAAATAATAGACAAAATGATAAACACTGTAATCACTTAAATGCCTGATATCACCAGTTCTGCTTCAAACATCACGGCTTTCACCTCTCACCTTTTAAAAACAAAGAGCAAATCTGGGCTGAATTTCAACTCATCAGCCACAAATTGGGAAAGTTGAAAGGGACCTGGGGTCATCTAGTCCAACCCTAAAATACAGGGTTCATAGCAAGATTTGTACTACCAGAAACACACACATACTTATGTACACAGACACAACTGGGGAAGAGACCACAAGCCATGCGCCTATCACAAACCATGCGCCTATCATGTACTAAGGAAGAGGAAAATAAAAGTACCCAACTTTATACAGAACCCTTTTAGCAGATCTTGAAGCTAGTTTGAGTGAGAGTTTACTTCCTTAGACTAAAGAGTGCAAGTTCCTAGAGAAATTATCTTTAAAGGAAGATTGAAGTGAACATTTTTCCTAAGATAGGGAGAGGATCTCTTATAAAGCATAGTTAAAACAGCCATAGATTTGATTTAAAAGGAATACAAAAGTGACAATTTTTCCTGAACTTGCAGAGGAATAGTAAGCCTAATCTATGCCCCCCCCCCCTTGCAGTTTCCTTCAAAGGAAGCTTACTCGGGAGTAAATTTACCTGGCACAGAAGTAAGAAGGAGAAGGGGGGGGAAAAAACCTGAAAGAGACAGAATGAAACAAGGGGGGGCATTTTCTAAGAAAAGAGGCCAGGAAGTCTTATAGAGACTGATATCAGGAGCCTTACAATAACTCTTCTGTCCAACCAAATCAAAGTTAAAACTGGACTCAGATATTTTTCTTAGAAGGAAGACCATACTTTCATAGGCATATGCTTAATGAAGTACATACAAGGAGGAAGACTCTTTTGAGCCTCTCTCAAATAACAAACATTTGCACACTTCATTCTCATTTTTGTCTTGTTTAAGATTGATAAGGCCCAACATGGCTTTCTTAGATTTAGAATTTGGAGCAAGCTTGCATTTTTATTTTAGATGGCACATTTAAGATAAGCAGCTGCTGGATGTGTTACCTAAGTACAATTTAAACACAGGAAAAACGTTTCTTAAACACAAATTAAAGGGGACTGTCAGAGTCCAGGCGGGAAGTAAGCACCAATTGGGCTTCTTTCACGCCAGGGGTCTGAGGACTATTTTTCTTTTGATTGAGGTGCACCCATTTTCAGTTTAAAAGGGGTTTGGACCTGGGCAAAACTCCGAAGGGTCCGGAAAGGGGAAACCTGGACAAAACTCCGAGGGGAAAAAACCTGGGGAAACCTGGACAAAACTCCGAGGGGAAAAAACCTGGGGATAAAAGGGGTTTGGACCTGGGCAAAACTCCGAAGGGTCCGGAAAAGGGGAAACCTGGACAAAACTCCGAGGGGAAAAAACTTGGGGATACCTGGACAAAACTCCGAGGGGAAAAACCTGGGGACATCTGGACAAAACTCCGAGGGGAAAGACCTGGGGATACCTGGACAAAACTCCGAGGGGAAAAACCTGGGGACACCTGGACAAAACTCCGAGGGGAAAGACCTGGGGATACCTGGACAAAACTCCGAGGGGAAAAACCTGGGGATACCTGGGGATACCTGGTCAAAACTCCGAAGGGGAAACCTCTCTCACTCAATATCTGTTCTGGAACCCACAGCAACCTCCCTGCCTTTTACAATCTAACTCAGAGTCCCTACTGAACGCTTGCACACTTGCAATGCCAGATTGAGACTCTGGAATATGAAAGATGGAAAGGAATTCAGCGCCCTTGCGTTCTCTGTTCACAGGTCATTTCTAACAAAGATCGCCATGGCAGAGGTGCGGCTGCGCTGGGAGTTATAGTTTTCAGTGCAGAAGAAATTGCACAACCTTTCTGGGCAAAACTCCGAAGGAATAGGTCGGCATAAAGAATTAAGTGGAAGAAGTCACACACAACCCTTGCCTGGGCATACTCCGAAGGGCTAGGGCTGGTGTTGAGATCGAGGGGACAGAAAGGAGGAGAAGGCAAGAAATTGCACGACCTTTCTGGGCAAAACTCCGAAGGAATAGGTCGGCATAAAGAATTAAGTGGAAGAAGTCACACACAACCCTTGCCTGGGCATACTCCGAAGGGCTAGGGCTGGTGTTGAGATCGAGGGGACAGAAAGGAGGAGAAGGCAAGAAATTGCACGACCTTTCTGGGCAAAACTCCGAAGGAATAGGTCGGCATAAAGAATTAAGTGGAAGAAGTCACACACAACCCTTGCCTGGGCATACTCCGAAGGGCTAGGGCTGGTGTTGAGATCGAGGGGACAGAAAGGAGGAGAAGGCAATTTTTAGATGAGGAAAAAAGTAGAAATTTTAGATTTGAAGGGAAAAGGAAGAATTAAAGAATTTTGGTTGCTGTGGTTTAGAGAACCCAACCCACTACCCGTGTTTCCTACTTAATACTCACTTCCGCATGCGCTGTTCCTGGTGATCCCACGATCTCTTGACTGGTTGTTTAAGGCCGGCCTGATCAAGCGTTGCTTCCTCTGGTTAGCCCCGCTGAACCTCCAGTTATTTCCAGACCCTGGGATCGATGGAAGACTGGCTATTCCTCCTGGCAAACTGCCTGGTGCGCGCTGGATAACCAGTCCTTCCTCGCTTCCAGAATCCGGGTAACCAAAAGTCCCTTCGTGCGTGGTCGCCATCTGTTGTAAATAAAAATATGCCCTTTTCCCTTATGGGGTATCCAAGAGCCCATATAGAGTCCTTACATAGGTTCCCTATTGGTAGGAGAAAATAACAGAGGCCAACCAGAGAATATTGAGAAGCAAAGCAGCTAGTAAGCCTGATCTTTATTGATCTGTTGCAACAGGGTGCTCCCCTCACACGCAGGAGAGGAAGAGGACCCCCAAAATGCTGTGCAAGGGCTTATAAAGACTTTTGAAATTCCCATCCTCTAGATCAAGACCACCCCCAGAAACATTATGCATTCATCACAGAAGGGGTGTAACCTAAGACCACCCCTCAGATACATCCCACCTACATCACAGAAATTTAAATGTTGTTTTTCTCCTGTCACAGTTTATCTCCTGTCTGGCAAGTTACTTGATTGGATTGCCTGGGGAGCCTGGCCATTCTTTTGTAGTGGTAAAATACTTATTTCCTGGGCCAGGTCACAGGCTCACACCTTATTCAAACAGACATATCCTTGAGACAGGATTTGTGAGGAAAGAGACAATGGGGAGGCTTTTCCATCTTTACCATGCAGAGAAACATTTGCTCAGTTTAGGAATCAAAATGGTTCCAGGTTGGCTTTCCTGTGCTGATCTATGTACGTGTGGTTATGAACGTTGCCATATATCTAAAACCATAAAATTCCT